TATTTGAAAATTAATCTAATTGGACTCTACATCCAATACTAAGAATTAGAGTTAGGGAGTAATGATTTTCAAAATCCCGCAATACATGGAAATTATGAATTAGGGAGCAAGGTTCTAAATATCGACATGGACTGCGTCGGTACATTTATTTTTTTTGAAACCGGTTTAGAGGGGTCGGTTTAAAGCTCGGCTACCCTCTGAACTGGTGATTGACCCAATACAACCCCTGAAGGGACATATCGGTAAGCCATTGGCACGATACATACCGATACTTTGAACCTTGTTAGAGAGTATTAATTCAATACTCATGGATGAATGTATCAACATGAACACAAAAATTGCACATCACACGATTCTAAGGGATGATGCTCATAATATTAAAGTCAGGCTTCAAAGATTTAAACCAGGCCTTGTCTAGAAAGGTATTAACATTTGAAAGTGGCCTTTCGCCCTAAATCATGGTATTTGGCGTTTTGGTGGGTACAAATGTATCGCATGATAAGCACTCATTAGTTGCAATAATTTGAACTTTTGTCTATACTTCGAACCTTTTGATTTAGAGAAGACAAAGGAATCATGGAAAGAAAAGGTGGAGACTGTTATCCCTTGCACTGGACCACCCCAAAAGCTTTCTGCAATAGAAAGAGAGAGCTTTGGTTTATTCCATTTGAAAGCAAGCAAGTGGCCGGCCGGCTGGCAACAAACATAAAAGGAGATGCCATGCACCAACCCAAACCCTCTTTCAAAAGTATCCTTTTCTGAGTCTTCAATTCTTCACAAGAAGGACCACTCAGAAAGTACAAAATCCATCCATACTCAGAGCTTCAAGAAGAAAGATTTTGAGTAATATATGAAACCATCCAGAGATGAAGTAAACACGAGGCTATGAATATGCCCTTTAGTGGAGGGGACGCGTCCAACACAAACTTGTGGCTGATCAAACAAGGGATGGAAGAATTGTGTTTTCAAAGTAACTTATTACCTTTCATTCCAGTGCCTGAACTGTGTATTAATTAATGGGACTTCAGCCCATGTGGTAGGTATGTCTGGCATGAAAGAGGATGCTTGACAACAGAATATAAGAATTAAACACTTGGGTTGTGTTTGGTTTGAAGGAAAAAGTAGGAAAATATAAAGAAAACCTTTATAAACCTTGTATAAGTTTCCTTATCCTTATGTTTTCTTTTCTTTTCTTATCTTTTCCTTCAAAGCAAACATAGCCTTATATGCAACCCTAAAAAAAGAGGAGAAAGAGAAAAGAACATAGAATCCATCATTAAGAAAGTGCATCCACAATAATTTTAGTACTGGAGACAAATTCCCAGAAAAGTATTCTTTGTCAATCAAATTCCCTTATAGAGAGCATCAGCGTGCATGTCTATATCTCAATTCAGATTTCAGAAACGTTTGTGATTTACTTCTGGAACTCTTTTCCTTTGGTCCTATACAGTCTTTAACTCTGACATGCACTCTGGGGGTGATTGTGAAATCGTAAGTTGCCACTCATAAATCATATCTGACAGTCCAAGTTCCAGTTTGAAATGTGATAACAGTCACAACACTATGGTTTTAGTGATGTAAGCTGCCCAGACAACTTCTTGTACTTCTCTAAGACCCGGATTAAACACATCGTCTGAATCAAATAGTTAGTAAGGATTACTAGCTAGGGACATCAAGAAGTAGGAGTCCAGTCAAAAAAAAAAAATAGTAAGAAAAGAAAAATGAGAGTCCACAATGGTGTACAATGCAAAACCAGCAGTCAGCAGAGAAATACTAATTAAATTAGCTAAAATCCAGACTCAATGAAATTGAAAACCAGTATAACAAGGAATGGAAATTGAAAGGATGCCAGTTTGGTAAGGATTGTTTCATCATCATCATATCCTTGTCCAACTATATGTTTCTTGTTACTTCCACCCAAATCCTTTTTTTTGGCCTACCCCTAACTGTTCTAACAGATCATTTTTTCAAACACCTGTTAGATGGGTAGTCCCAGCGGATATGCAGATTCAAATCCCACTACCCGTTCCATTAAAATAGCAAAAAAAAAAAAAAAAAAAAAAAAAAAAAAAAAAAACAGAAAAACAACAGGTGTTGTAGATGGTAGGAATTATTTCAATTTAAAATTACAAATCATCACCATTTTGAGATAATCAAGAAAAAAAATGAAATACTGCCTGCTTGAAAAAAACAATACACCATTAAACAAACCTTCCAGGGAAGAATAGAAATCATTCGCCACATGATGTTTCAGTATAAATGATCTCAACCCTAAAATAAAAGCAATTCAACGATAATTACCATGACCTACCTATTAAAGCTCAACTAACCAATTATAGATCATCTCAAAATGGTCTATAACATCTAAGACAAAGTTACTAAATCAGATTAAGTAATTTAGTGCTTTAACTACAACACTGTATCTTAAAAAAAATCCAAAATGAGAAGTTGAACAATGGACAAGATGGAATTGTAAATAGTGTTTTCAATCTCTTCACTATTAGGGATGGCAATTTCTACCTTATCCAGTAGGTACTTGCTATATCCACCTCAATGGGGTGGGTTTTCAGATTTTGGGGCAGGGACAGGTTTTGGGGTTCTACAGCCTGTACAAGTATGGGCAGGGCACAGTATCAGGCTAAAACCCAACCCTCTCCAATCCACCTATTATTGGGAGGCATATGAACATTATGTATTAGGTGTTGAATTTAATAATATTTTATTTTATTTTTTTGTGAAGAATAGTTGATAGTTTGTGTTTTTTACATGTCTTAGTTAAATAATTGAAAATTTTGCTATTTGTTTATATTATTTATTATTTATATATAATAAGAAATAAGATGCAGGTTTTAAACCCAATCCACCCTCATATTGAATGTGAAGAGGGTAGAATCGGGGAGGGTTTAGATTCTCAAAATCCAACTTGCTATAGGTTTTGAGGTGGATATGGGTTGGGAGGTTTAGGGAGGCAAGTAAAGAGTCTAGAATTTACAAAACCCTCCTTGAACCTGACTCATTGCCATCCCTATCCACTGGTACAAATTTTGTTGGTTGATTTCTCTCCCCGGAACCCATTGTAGCTCTCTTGAGATGTTTTGAAAGAGAAAACGTTGCCACAGGTCCCTCTTATAAATGGCAACCAAATAGGTTCATGCCTACACGTCTCTCTATCACAGTATAGTTGTGTATTTTTCTAAGATTAAGCAAAATGCCTATAACAAATCGTGCATATCTGATGGAACATGGAGATAACTACCATATTTTTTGTTGAGTGGGGATAGATACATGTTTGAGGGAGAAGATCTATCCGGTTCCCATTCCTATAGAGTTCGGATGACAAGTACAGGAGATGTTCCAAATGCATGTGGGATGGGCTGTGGGGCACATGTGGGGTCTGTTGTAGGGCCCATCCGAATTCATCCCTGTATCGCTACCAAAGGATCTCTTTACCCACAAACTCTTCCCATATCCCTACCTATAGGACACTACATTTGGGCATTTGGAATATCTCTCTTGTCATTCATGGAGATATTCCCAATACACACGGCAGTAGTGTCTTGTAAGTAGAGATGTGGAAAGAATTTGTAAAGAGTTTGTAGGTAAGAGATCCAAAGTGGTATTGACTTCCATTGGCCGATTGACCAACTTCAATTTTTGTACCTTTGTTGTATTTTTCACCAACATTCAATTTTATGATGTGATTAGGGGTGCAAGTCAGGCCAAGTTATGTCTGGTTGATGTCAATCCTCAAGAGTTGTTGATACTTGAAACCCCACTACAACTTCAGTTTGGGTTTGAATTAGTGTTGGGTTCATCTGACTTCTCTACATCCTTTTGCCAAATATACTTATTTACTAGACTTTAAGGGTTCATGTTAATTCAATGTTAGCATTACCCCGTGCAAAAGAACATGGTTATCTTATATAAATTGATAAATATATTTATACATAAATACTTGTGAAAAAAATGTACATACAAATATATTTATAGTTTTATACATGCAAAATTACTTGCATGTATATTGAATACACATACAAAAGTACTTGTATGCAAGGTTCAAAATATTGATACGCCCGAGGTGTATCGGGCAGTACTGGTAGTTCTTTTTTAATTTTTTTTTTCAAATCCGATTCAGATGGGCCAGTTTAAGGTCCGTCCACCCCCTGAACTAGTCAAAACCCCGATACACCCTCTGTAAGAACATATCGGGAAGTTCTCGATATGATATGTATCGGCCAATACGGGCCAATACGTATCGATATTTTGAACCTTACATGTATAAAAACATACACACAAATATGAAATTAAGTTGTATTCAGATTGGGTCAGGTCGGTCAAGGCCTCAACCTAACCTAACCCAAAGTCAGGTTTATACTTTCGACCCTAACCCAAACTTCAACCCAACCCTATATTTTCAGGCCAGGTTCGGACTAAACCAGCCCACATTGCAACCCCATATGTAATAGATGATGCCTTGAGTTCAACTATGATACCATAATGACATGAATGGTGATAAGCAGAAGGTCCAGAAATACATGCAAGTGATGTAACCAACTAACCAGTATCAAAGGTTAAAGTATTCACACACCACGAGCTGAAGGAGTGTATTGATACTTTGAACCCAGTGGCTTAGTTTCATTTTCTTTTTTCCAAAAGCTGCTCAGATGGATTGGTCTAAGGGCTGCTACCCCATGAAATGGGTTTTGACCCCAAAAGCGTTAAAATTTCACGTATTAACAGGTCACTAATACAATATGATACGCTTGATATGGGACTGTCAAAATTTTGAACCTTGCTCGTACATAAAACTGGTTCACCCACTCCAACTGGGTCTGGGTAACAGGAAGCCGGCAGAGCAACAAGTTCACGGTGAGCGGTTGATCTATGACCCATTACATAATTTCGTTTTATTCTCCAATTTTTACTTGGAATCATGATGAAATGGGGTTCCTGGTCTAAACCAGGGAGAGGAGAGAAAAACCCTTGGATTGCAATCTTTGTTTGTAATCCGTTATGAAGCAATGGTTGGAATAGCACAAGTACAGTCGTTTCAAAGGTTCATATCCAAGCTAATATATCACAAAAATACACAAAATTACAACATGCTTAAACCCAGAAGATACAGAGTCACCCGAGAAAATAATTAAAAGGTAACACAGCTTCTGAATAGAAGCAGTATTGTTGCTACTGATGCTAGACTCAGTAAAGAACGAGTGACATTACATGCATTACAGGCTTAAAAACAGCATATGGGACTACTGGAGAACAAGCATCAAGGATGCAGCTTGATAACCCGAGAAACCCTCTCGAAGAAGATGGGACACATGCTTGTGCTGAACATCATTACCTCCCTCATCCACTCTGGAGCCACTCTCTCAAAAGTTCCCAGAGATGCAACACGATACAATAGCTCTGCATCCTCCCCAGCCGGTTTATTAACCCATGTCAGACTGAATGAATAACCTGTAAACCCAAAACAAATTTCAAAATAAAGAGGATAAACACTGTAAAAATGAACTAATCTATAACTACTATCTTAAAGCATTTGGTTAGTGTACAGTAATTGGGTGAGAGCATAACATGTGGCACGCTGTTTATTTGTCATGCTTGCTTTATACTTCCAAGTTCCAATGTGTCCTCTCCTTCCCTTCCTCTTCTTTTTTTTCCGGTCTCCCTGCTCACCCTATTCTGAAGAGAAGCTTGCCATACAAGCCTCTCGCTTCAAGAGCCTTCTTTTAATCAAATTGCTCATGCCATTGCACAGAAGGCTAAACATTTAGTCAGGGAGGTGGTGTGGTATTAATGTAATTATGTAAATGTTGTTTTTTCATGATGTGTAGTTCAGTTGCCTACTGTAAATAGGGGTGTATCTCTTTGTACTCTTTTCAAACAGTATTTGACCCAATCCAAAGTGTGCAAGGAAAGGTAGTGATTGATGCCTCTCGTTTAATCAACCCACAAACTATGATACTTGGCCAAGAGCCAAGGCAAACAGCATCTAAGCTTGGACATCTAAATAAACCATCCATCCGGGTGAATACTTGATGCATGTCCCTCATGTGTCATCTATTCCCTTGTTGTGTGCTTTGTATTTTAATCCATTTGTCTCACATCAACTGTTCTTTCAGGCTTTGATCCATGGATTGAATAGGCATTACTACTCAATAGCCACAGGAATGAACTCGAAGAAATGGTACTCAACTTATAGAAGTGGACTGGACTGACACTACAGCAGTTTGATACCCATGCCAGAACTAATGAGCAAACTATTCAGGTAAGGAGAGGTCTCATCTCCTAGTTTTGTTCTCTTTTGCTCCGTTGCTATTATACCTGGCACACTCGGTTTTCATCCTAACTGTTGACTCCTAACATCTTTTCAGCAGGGTATCATTAGAATAAGTGAATTTATTATAACAAGATGCATATGATCATTAACATCTTATTTATCATGATATTTTTCCATAAGGTCCTGTCAGAGGCTCCTATCTGTTGCATCTTTTAAAAGCAAGACAACCTTTTTACCATAGAATTTTTGGAAGCTCCATTTTGACATCCTCTTATATTCACTTGGCATGTTGTGTGATGAGCAGGAGATGCTAAATTTGGCGATCAAATACAATAAGATGGTTTAGAAGGACAATGAGATGCCACCAGAGAAGCTAGACATTGCAAATGTTGGCAGAGAAGGTGCCAAGAAGCATCTGAAAGAATTGAGAACAGGTGTTACATTTGGACTATACTAGCTTCATTTGATTCATTGAAAAATTGGGGACGGAAGATTTGATTTGAAAAGCATATGATCTATATTCCTTTTATTAAAATTGTATTTTTATTATATTTGTTTTAAAGTTCTTATTTTTCTTTTTGTTTTCAATTTACTTTCTTTTTACTTTTTTGACCATTAATATCTTTGCAATCACAAGTGTCACACCATACTGCACAAATGGCCAGAGCAACCACAGTTACGAGAGAGAGAAGGTTCTAAGGCACAGAGATGATCTACCACTCTTCTGCCCTCATGACCGTGCTGACCAAGGCCTTTCCACTAGTACTTAATTAAAAGAGATCAATGCTATACTTTTGGTTAAGTTTGCAAATACGACACTCGAAATCAAAGATTTGAATGCCAGTTAAACCATCTAAAAAAGCTAAGCTAAAGGGAATTGGAAACAACTAGCAAGCAACATCTTCAGCCTAAAACACCTTGTCACTCTTTCAAAATAAGCCTACTTGTGTAGATAAGTTTCATATTAAAATATAAAATCTTTGACAGCAAATGTTAGTTTTGAAAACCACCAATACAAGGTGGGCATATTCCTGATATCAACCATGGAATTGAAGATGTTGTGAAGTCAGTGGGTAAAGAGCCTAATTAGTCGTATGAATACAAGAATTCAATGGGAAAAAAGGTCAGCTAATGGTAGATGCACTAGCTAAACAAGGAATATTCAGTAGCCAATTATACTGGGCTTGTTTGTAATGAGAAAGTTGGCCGGATGAGGTTTCACCTTGCACCTCCCCTTTGTAATCTTCTTTTTCTTCTTAATATACTTTTCTTTCTTATCAAAAAAAAACAACATGTGAATTCAGTGGGTCCCCTATCCAATAGATGATCTGGATCAGCCATAAGATCCCTCCATGTGGCAGAAATAGATAATTTAATGAAGGGAAGCCTCCTACTTGACCTGACTAGTGGACCATTTCCCCATATATACATGATTACATATACATATACAGAATGTAATCCACAATCCACCAGTTGAAGCAAAAGCCTAAGAAAAGACCTATAGAGAATTTTAGACATCAAATAAAGAATCCATGAAGCTGAAAAAATTGGACTGTTATTCTGGATTGAACAATTACCACTTGATTGATGAAGTGCTGAAACAGACAATCCTTCTGTTTGAATAATTGCAGAGAATTTCATGCCAACTAAGCACTCCACAAGGGCTTGAAATAGACAATTGGCAGCTCCAGTGTTACTACCTCCTAAAAATTTTGGTAACCAAGCCTAGTTAAACATATGGCACTGTGCCCAAGAAGAATGTCATCAATAAGCCCTAGTTAAATGTATGACACATAACACATACCTAAACCAGCCACATCTCTTCTACAGCATTCAGGCTGAAAAGTTGCACATCCAGGGTCAAGGTAAAAATGGAAAGCCAAAAATTTGACTCAATGTCAAAAAAGTTACGATACGTACCAGCAGAATGTTTCTAGGTGCACCATTATCACACAAGTGTGAATCTCTTTCTAATTCTCTCACCTCATCATGCTCATCTTGAACACTGGCATGTGGAACAAATCTTACTTCTGTCTGAGTTCCCACATGCCTACTGTGCTTTTGTGGCATCTTTATAGTTGACTGATCAGATAAATCACTTGGCCCAACTTGAGGATCTTGAAAAGATCTAATTTGTGCAATGTCATTGTTTCCACCTTCTGTGATGCAGCAGAGTTGCTCTCGTGGCATGTTGTGAAGTCTCTCAACTTCTTCGGCCAGATCTTTATCTGTTAAATGTTCATTTGATTAACAGCAAGAGAACTTAATCAGAACATGGAAATGGAATATAGTTGGCCCTAACTGTGACATACATGTATATCATCACTCATCATCATAGATTTTTTTTATCAATCACAGAAACTATATCATTAATTTAGAAGAAAATTAGTACAACTGAAGAGAAAGAAGGGGAAGGGATAAACTCTCTTAGCCCTTCCCCAATGGAAAAAATTACAACAAAGCCCAAAATAAGTTATTCCTTCCCACCAAGGTTCAAAGTACCAAAATGTATCAGGGTGTATCAGCTGATACGTATCATATTGGTGCCCCCCCAATACACCCCTACAGTGGGTGTTTTGGGGTCTGACCTGGTTCAGGAGGTAGATGGGCCTTAAACCGACCCCCTGAACCAGTTTGAAAAAACAAAAGTAAAGGCACAGCTCGTTACAAGCTGATACGCCCCAACCGGCGTATCAGCCTGTGTCAATATTTAGAACCTTGCTTCCCACTCCTTGTTTAGCAAGTGTATCAGCAAAGGCATTTGCATCTCTCTCAAGTTGCTTCTAATCTATGATGATGAGTGAAACATGGCATTGTTGGGGAAATGCTTGTGGAGATTGCATCTAAGGCACAAGGAGAAAGGTAAGGCGTGAGCCTTATTGAAAACAGCGCACAAATTTTTTGAAAAAGAATAAAAAAAAGAAAGAAAAAATATAAAAAAGCATATTTAAATTTAAAAACTTCAGAAAAATTACAAAGAACATATATCTATGTTTATCAAAACACAAACTTGAATTTCAAATTTTCAAATGATTATTTCTTTTTAATCAATAATGGAAACTTTTATTAATAAAAGGAGATGGAAAAGATACAACAAGAAAGGGGGTAAAATCTCTTACCCCACCCTAAAAATAAAACATCACATTACAATACAGCCCAAAAGAAACTAGTTCTTCCCACCCCTTGTTTAGCTAGATAATCTGCAAAAGAATTGAAACTCCTCTTGGACCACTGAAACTGAATTTGCATGTCTTGAGTGAGCTTGTAAATTCTCTTTTTTTTCATTCGAGAACTTCCATAAATTAGCCTCTTCCTTCTACAGCCAGTTAATAGCCAGTTTCGAATCACCCTCCATCAGCAGCTTACTAATATTCAGCTGTTTGGCTCTTTTTATTCCTTCTAATACTGCTGAAATTTCAGCTCTCAGAGAATCCCCCCAACCTATAGGCCCTGAAAATATGGCCATAATCCGACCTTCTTCATCCCTGAAGACTCCTATACCTGAAGGGTCTGGGTTTCCTTCACTGCTGCCATCAAAATTCAATTTAGTGAACCCCATAGTTGGAGGAGACTAAGTTGGAACAGGCAGGGGCTATCAACCGAGCAGACCAGGCAACTTCTTTCCATTTCCTGCTGAGAAGCCTTCAAAAAGCTTCATTGACTTGACCCAATGAACCACCCTAATGTAGATTAAATCAATGATGGCTTCTTTGTTCTTTTCTTTTTCCTGGAAAGTTCGTTGATTTCTTTCTTCCCACACTGTCCAGCATACAGCTGCTCTTATACATCTCCACAAGATCTTACCTCTCTTTTTGAAACCCCTCACAGGAGCAAAGTTAAACAAGCATTGCAGAGTTGGGGGAGTGGGCCACCTACAACCAAAAAGAGAGAAAAACAAAATCCAGATTTCTGAAACAAAAGGATAGGAAACAAATAAGTGATAATAGCTCTCACCGTTCTTCTTACATAAGATACACCAGTGCGGGGATAAACACCATCTTGGCCTTTTCTTTTGAAGTAAGTCACAAGTGTTACACTTTCCTAGTATAGCTTCCCAGCATAAAGCACCTACTTTGGGAAGAATTGGTCTAACCCAAACTTCCGGAACTGGGAAAGGAAAATCAAGGACCGAATGGGAATGGGTTAATTCCTTGAAAAAAGAAGAGCATGAAAAAATACCCAAGGGAGTAGGAGCCCAAATCCTATTGTCCAATCTAGATGGGTCAACAACTACCTCCTCCAAAAGCCCAGATTCCAAACAGGGCAAGAATTAGAAAAGGTTAGGAAAGTAGCAACAGGTTCATTTTTAAACCTTGAGAGAGAGAACAAAGAAGGATACTACTCTTTTAGAGGTGTGTTACCCACTCAGATATGTTCCCAAAATCTTATAGAATTACCAGAGCAAAGGTCATACCTGATAAAAGGAAGGATGGAAGAATAGCATGAATAGACTTCTAGGGAGAAGCTCTTGTAGCCCTAGATGAAACACGTGTCCCAGTCGTCTGCCTCTTGCCCATGAATACTTAGGACTATTTTAGCCCACAGATTATCCTTTTGCTTTGTCAATCTCCATAACCATTCCCCCAACAAGGCTTCATTCTTCTTCTGCAAGTTACCTAAGCCAAGACCACTATTCTTTTTTTGCTCTATTTACCAGATCCCACCTAACTCTATGATCCATTTTCTCCTCCCCATGTTCCCATAGGAAATCTCTCACGATTTTCTCCAACACCCTACACACTCCCTCAAGAATTTTAAACACTGACAAAAAGTAGACCGGGAGGTCCGCCAAGGTTGCTTTAATCAAAGTTATCCTACCACCCAAAGTTAGGTAGTTTTTCTTCCCTGAAGCTAGCCTTTTTGTGAATTTCTCAATCACCGGATTCCAAAAGTCCCTTCTGCTAGGATTATCCCCTAAAGGAAGTCCCAAATATTCCAATGGCCACTGTGCAATCTCGCATCCCAATATTTGGGCCCTTTCTTCCACCTCTTCGGCCCTCATATTAATACCAATCACACAACTCTTATCAAAGTTGACTTTGAGGTTGGTCACATGTTCAAAGACATTAATCACCCGTTTTAAGTTTCTAACCCACCTAACTTCATCCCCTCCACAAAACAAAATTGTGTCATCCGCAAACTGTAAATGAGTGATCTAAACCCCATCCCTCCCAACTTTCCAACCACTTACCAAACCCTTAGAATCTGCCCTCTCCATAATCCTCCCCAAAACTTCAACAATCAGGGTAAAAAGAAAAGGGGACAGGGGGTCCCCTTGCCTAATACCCCTAGTAGCTGGAAAGTGATCCACCACCCTACCATTCACCAGAATAGAATAGTGGCAGGTCCTAATGCACCCTTTTATCTACTTACACCACCTATGCCCAAAACCAAAAAGACCCTAGCACTTCCAACAACACAGACCAATCAACCAAGCCATAAGCCTTTTCTATATCCAATTTACACACCAACCCTTTCTTCCCATTTCTTTTGAAATCTTCCACACTCTCGTTTGCTATTAAAATTTGATCCACAATTTGTCTATTCTTCACAAATGCACCTTGGTTAGGGGAAATGATTGTCCGGAGAACCTCTCTAATTCTACGCAAGAGAACCTACGCAAGAGAACCTTGGCAATGATTTTGTAGAGGCTATTAACCAAACTGATGGGTATGAACTCCTTAGGGTGGCAAGCTCCCTCCTATTTTGGGACTAATGCAATGAAAGTAGAGTTCAGACCAGGGTTAATCACCCCTCTTTCAAAGAATTCTGAGAACACATTCTGAATGTCATCCTTAATAATCTCCCAGAAGAATACAAATATAAAAGAAGTTAAAAGCCAACTTAACTCTCCATGTCTCCATGGTGTTAAGCACTTCAGACTCAATACCACAATAATCATTGAATCACTACATCTAGTAAATGGTAATCCACACATGACACATCACATTCACATCATAGACCAAGATCAATATTAATAAAAAAAAGTGGCAACTTAAAATCTTAAACAAAAAAAGAGTAGATGTTTAAGTCTTTAAAACAAAGCTAGATGAAATAAAAGTCTAAGGCCTCGTTTGCTTTTTGGTAAGTTACTTACCCGGGTAAATGCAGTTACCTAGGTAAGTTTTTCTTGGGAAACACTTACCCGGGTAAGTGCATTTACCCATGTTCTTTTATTTCTCATGTAAATAAAGCAATGACCATTTCGGCCGTAAAAATCCATTATTAAAAAGGGCATTTTTGTCCCATTCAAGTGTTGGCAACTTTCCCCCTAGGCGAGAGTTATTTACCCATCTAGGAGATGGGTATCACTTACCCAGGTAAGTGATACATAGGAAAATAAACTTTCCCTAGTCTCCACATAAATCTAAAAAAAAAAAAAGAACATGGGATTCTTGGTCAATGGGAACCAAAATCCCATTGACCAACTTCCCCACCTCTCAGAATCCGAAAAAAGAACGCCCCCTAAGTATCTAACACTATCACTCATCACCGATGTTTAGAAAACCAAACAAGACCGGCCAATTAGACCAATTGAACCATGAACCACACCACTGGCCAGTTTGATCCTTCTACCCTAAAACTCTTAACTTGTGAAAAAATGGTCAAAACAAGTTGACCGGCTGGTTTAACTGGAAAACCGATGAACCAGTCTCAATGTCCCACCCAATCTCTAAATGAATGGAAATTTGAAAATGGTAATGGCAAGACTCAAACCCATGACCTTTTATTTGTATATAGTCCTAATAGTGATACCATTAAGCCACTTTTTCACTTGTCATCATTTATGCCTCTTTAATGTATATATTGCTTTAATACACATATTTTAAAGAAAATGTAAGTTAAGAGACTTAAACACTGGTCCTTTGCTTTAAAACTTAAGAATGTAACCATCTATCCATCGCATTCAAATATAATAATATTTGAAAAATATATTATATAGCATTTATTGACCTGAAATATATGTACATAAATATTCTATCATCACAATTCGACCTCCGATTTGACCACAATTGAACCTCTAACTAGTGAACCTCTCCCTTTCCTAGTTCTATGCCCAACCCAATTCTCTAAACATTGCACATCACTCATTTCCCCATTCACTCTTCACTTCCACAATCTTCCTCATCATCTTCTTCATTTGGACCTGATGTGATTCAGTCCAATAAAAAACTTTAAAATATTTCAAATTATAACAAAAGAGAAAGAAGAAGAAAACAGCAAGAAGAAGAAGAGGGAGAAGAAGTGAGAAAGGACTTCGATGGTCTCTTCTTCCACCTCTCTATTCTTTTATTAATCTTACTAAGATTGAATAAATTACAAGTCCACCCTTAAGTGGGCATCCATCTCATCAACATACTTTAAGAAAGCATAAAAAAGAATTAAGGACCATAGGGAAAAGGCACATTAAGAAACAAAACAAGGAAGAACTAGCAATAAGAGAGTAATGGCCTAGGGCCCATTAGGCCCAGCCTCTCTACACTCCCCCTCAAGCTAAGCATAGATATCAATCATGCCCAATTTGCTTATATAGTGAATCAGCTTTCATTTAGGAACACCTTTTGTCAAAACATCAGCCAACTGTTCTTTAGAAGCAATAAATGGCAGGCAGACTTCTCCTGAAGCAACTCTCTCCCGTATAAAGTGCTTGTCAACCTCTATGTGCTTAGTTCTATCATACTAAACAGGATTATGTGCAATGTTGATAGCGGCCTAGTTGTCACAATATAGCATCATTGGCTTCTAATAATCAATACCCAATCTTCTAAAAGTGATCTCAACCACAAAATTTTGAAACTCCATGTGCCATTTCCCTATACTCTGCTTTAGTCGAGGATATAAAAACTATAGACTACTTCTTACTTCTCCATGACACAATGTTCTCTGCCACCATAGCACAGTAACTTGAAGTAGATCTCATATCATCAATACATCCAACCTAATCAACATTAGTGTATGCTTCCAGCTTCATGTGCCCATGCTTAGCAAACAAGATACCCTTCCCTAGTCCCTTTCAGGTAACACAAAACCCTCTCAGCAGCTACTAAATGTATATATCTGGGAGAATGCATGATAATAACAACTTCCCAAGCAGTCTCTAGAGCACTCCCCTATCGGTCAACAATTCACCATCAGTAGTTAAAAGCTTGTGATTGAGGTCTATAGGAGTGGATGTTGGTTTAGCACCTAGTTTGCCAGTTTCTACAAGAAGATCAAGAACATACTTACGTTAAGAAATGAAAATACCATCCTTAGACCTGTCAACTTCAATTCCCAAGAAATATCTGAATTCGCCCAAATCCTTAATCTCAAACTCAGTGTTAAGTAGTTGGTTCCAACCTTCTCTACAAGAAGATCAAGGAACTTTCGGTCATGCTTTCAGCCCCCAAAAGACCTTCCCCTTGAATCTTTAATTCACTTCCAGCCTTCTCTATTTTATATGTGATGTTAACAGTCACTACTTCAAACAAAAGAAACTTGAACTTCACCTTTTAAGCAAAAAGGAACTTATCTGATTGAAATCAAACACCCAGAAATCACTCACAGTGAGGACTTCTAATTCAGAAATCATTCACAATCAAGAAACACGACCAAGAAATCACTTCTCAGCCAAGAATCATCACCCAAAAACCATTTACAGTCAACTATAACTGTCCAAGAATCAACCACAGTCAAAGAACAATTTTGGGAGTAAGAAATGATCGTGGGGTTCTGAAAAAACTTGGGAAAAATGACAGGGAAAACAGAGATCTGTCAAAAACCCTAAAGAAATTACAGAAAATTAATCTCAACAGGGTATTGATTGTTTTCAATCCAATAACAGCCCCAGCAAGTCTTAAACCTTGTCTTTCTCTTTGAGATTATAGCTGTAGGTTGTTAGAAGTAGAATATGTCCACAATATCAAGAGAAGTGTCCTCGAAGGACAATAGGATTGGTGGGAGATCCTCAACCTAGAAAACCCAAATCTGCATAGTCTGCAAATCACCAGTGTGTTGTTAAACAAATACAACTTCAAATAATGGTCTGTTTTAGCCAAGCTTTTTATTACTTCCTAGGAACTTATGGGTTATATAGATGGACAGAAGAAGGAATCTAAAGAGGATGATGCTGAATACTCAACCTGGCACCCTGGCACAAGGAGAATGCCACTATTATGTCATGACTGCTTGCTTCAATGACTCCAGAGGTAGCAAGGACTGTTCACACTTCCCTACAGCCTCTAAGATTTGGAAGGTGTATAAAGCCTACGAACAATGGAAGAACAATGCAAGAATTTATAGACTAACCCAAGATATTGTTGCATTAAGGCAAGGGGATATGTTTATTTCAACTTATTTTGCAATCTTAGGACTATGGGAAGAACTGGACCACCATCTTGTACTTGACTAGGAAATGCAAGAGATAAGGAGAGGCATGATAAACAAAATACAATAAGGCAGAGCTTTTAAGTTCTTGGCTGGCCTAAACCCAATATATGAAAGTATAAGATCCCAAATTTTGGAAATGGATGAGCTTCTAGATTTACATCGAAGGAAAGAGATGCATTTAGACACCAAGTGCAGCCTATTGAGCATTTTGCCTTGATTTCTTCAAGCCAGGAGGGGGGGGGGCAAGCATTCAGACAAGAGACACCTCAAGTGCTCTCATTGTGGAGCCTCAGAAGCCTCAGAAGAAACAAATAGCAAGTGGAAATGTTGTCACAAGTCACAAAGAGGAGATGAAACAGCCTAAATGGTTAAGTGGGAAAGGAGGTTGGCTAATGGATTGACAAATGCTTTAGCTAAACAAGGGGTGATATGGACCATTTGTATTGGGCTCAGTTGTAATGGAGAGGTTGCACATCATATCCTTCCTTGGAATCTTGTAATCATTGCCATTCCTCATCTTAATAATATTGATATTTTTACTTATCAAAAATATCAAGGCAAACAAGTACAATTGTTCAAATATTTAGAAGCTGAATTGACCTCTTAAACAATAACATAAGATGAACCATCCACTTAAATAACAATAACTACCATTATGTTTGGTTTGAAGGAAAAGGTAGGGAAAGGAAGGGAAGGTAGGGAAACCTATACAAGCCTGTAAAGGTTTCCCTACCTTTTCCTTCAAACCAAACACAGCTTAAGAGAATGATCAAGGAATTCATGAGAATGCAAAATACCTACACCATAAAAATTTAAATGATAATTTGAAAGAGTAATTAACATCCATTAGGCAATCTGCTGTTTCTTACTTTTGTTATTCTCTTCCATCAAAAGCTTTTGGTATTCGACATATTGGCGCTCTTTGGACAATCTGCAACCATATAATCTACGTTTTAGGATTTTTGCTTCGTGCAGCCTTAAAGATTTGACTAATAAATAGTTTTGGAAAACACATGCCTAATAGATTTCACTTCATCCTTCAAGTCACTTAATTGCAAGCGTAACCTCTCATTTTCTTTTCTCAAGTGATCTATCAATTCCTCTGCAGCTGCAAGCAACAAGGAAACAAAGTATCGTTGTGCTCAGAAACCTAAAAATCTTTATGCTAACCATACATCAATGAAATCCAATATTTACTACCTTATGCCTAATATGAATCAGTCTCAAATAAATACAAAAAAATAGACCAAACATTTTATAACTCAACACAGCAACACATACAAGATTACAAGGAAAACAAAAGGTAATGAAAACATTAATTCTATAGATGTCTCAATGTACTCTGAAGCTCGTAAATCTAACACCCAGCTATGTATATCCGCACGGATATCATGTTCATGAAAGTCAAAAAATTAAGCCCCCGCAGAGATACTAAGCTTGCGTGTAATTCAAAACCCAGATTAGAAAAGAAAGAAAGAAAAAACAGTAAATAAAACATCGGAGAAATGCATACCCGACACATAATTCATAAACTTTTCTTCTTGTTCGTGATTGAGCTGCTCCATTTCAGATTCCCTCTTTCTCTAAGCACATTAAAGCGTGAACCCTTCAGGATAATATTTTGAAAATAACAGAAAATTTGAGAATGGAATCAAAACAAAGCAAAACCTTCATGTTGGTGTACTTATCGTATAGTTTAGAGTACAGAGCCTCCATCTGCATCAGAAATCAGCAAACCCCCAATAAATTCCACCTCTAAAAATTTACCCAAGTAGGAAAAGCTTGCAACAAGAGCAATGCCTTGAATAATTCAAACCCCAAATACTTTGTCTTTTTCCCCCTGTATCAACACAAACAAATGTCAAAACTTTTAAAATGGAAAATGCAGCTACAACTCATAAAATGAACAAAAGATCCATTAAGCTTTCCCCTCTTGCAATAATTCTACAAATTGAACTAGGGATAGAGTAATCAGACAATAGACCTTCCAGAACCAACCTTCACATCAACTGTAGTATAACGCAGAGCAGCTCGAGCGGAAAGCGGGTAAATTTTGCGGAGATTGCAGAACACCTCAAAAAAAGGCGGGAAAATTGCTTTGGAAATGGAAAAAAGGGTTTCGAAGTCTCAGCTTTGTTTTATACATTGGGACTACATACGGGTGGATTCGACTTCACATCAGCACCCCACAAATGCCCCATGGCACATCCTCACCTTGTATTGGTAATATCTGCAAATGACGTCGACATCATCTCCCGTATTTATCATTGGGACCTCCAGGATCTACATCCGAAAGCATGTTTGATTTAATAGTGACGTCATAGCCTGATGCATTGGCTGAACCATTCCCATTAAGACTTAAATGAGATAGGGAAGGGATTAATCACCTGTCTCCCGGATCTAATAGGTGGGGCTCACATGAGATTCCAAAGCAAACATAAATTAAAACAAGCAATTCATTGATTAACTAAGAACAATTAATAATCAACAAAACTAAACAAAGTCATGAATAAACCATCACAAGAAAAAGAAACTAATTAACTTATTTTATTTCTTTTTTTTTATCGTTTGTTTATGTAATCTCCTCATGGAAACTCATTTTATCTTTCTTCCCTTTTTTTAATTTTTCTATTTTCTATTTTTATAGAATATTTTTTATTTTTATTATTATTTTTTTATTTTCTAATTTTTATATATTTTTTTRCCATTCCCCTTTCGGTGGCTTATTTCCTCCTACCACCTAAACATGACTAAACCTATACTAGCCTCCCCATTTTGCCTTTGACCTAATCTATTTACTTTTTTTTGTTCTCTTTTTTATTTTCCTTTTTATTTTTTATTGTTCTATTATTTTTCCCTTTTAATTATATTATTTTTTTACCTTTTTATGTTTTCTCTTTTTCTGTTTGAGTTGATCTACTCCTCTAGGCCACTCAACCTTTTCACCCAAGAACTCATATTAATAACCTTCTCTAGCTACTGTATTAATGATGTCAAATAGCTAGATAAACTCTGGCTCTGTTCAATAAATAAGGGCTAAGTAAATCAGCAATCAGAGAATTTAGACTCATGCAACCAAGAACATAACTGATGTGGCGTAATCCGGTTGCTCCCTGCTGGATACTGGCATGGCTGTCAGCAACGACGGGAACTGGGTTCTTGAAAGAGATGAGTCAGAGATCCCGGGGTGGCTCACCCGGCGAGGATACTTCGATGGCTAAGTGAGAACACAGTAGTAGTAGAGATCTTGAAGATGATAACAGTGAGAGAGCTAGAGAGCAAAGATCACACACAACAATTAAAAAACGTACCTTCGCCCCTGGGGGGGGTGGAGTCTTTATACACTGTGGCCCAAGTAGGTTGGTGGAACAGTCACTGGATCTCTGCTGTGATGGGACCAATTGCATATTAGGTGGATGAAATGCCGCCAAACGGTAATACTGCCCTTCCCGTCAGAACGGGGAGTAGGTGAACTAATGTTACCGTTATAAAGTACGGTCTTGGGGGATACAGAGCACGGAGGTGTGTTCCTCGAGGCTACCATGCGGAGGCCTGAATGGTAGGCGAGCTGCTTGTAGGATACCGGATTGCTTGATAGCGAGCTAATTGGTAGCAAGCTTCTTGAGCTCATGCTCAGGTCCACCCCTGACATGAATGCCGAAGTGCCCTCGAATCGAGGTGATTCACCTGCCCGGGCTTGATTTGTAATGAACTTGGTTTCGTTATTCTGATCGCGATCTGGTACCGGGACAATCTTAGCTTGATGTGACTTTAGTTCGGGGTACTAGCGAACCTCAGTTGCTCTGTCAGATGGGTTGCGTGCGGTTCACGTGCGGATGTCAAGCGACCTATAGGCTCCGCGGACGCCAAAAAACGCGCTAAACCAATTTCGATCTCGAAGGTCATCTAGCCGATTTTCTTAGGAGCCATCAGATTGCTTTAATCTCGATCGTTGCTTCTTTGATACAGTGGTTATAAATAAGGAGATCCGAGACTCATTTCCTTCGCCACATGCTTACTAGTCTTCGAACTGAAGTCGCGCTTAGCTTCTTTAGCTCGGGTTTTCTAGTTCGCCATTTCCTCCTAATTCGGTCGTCTCTCTTTGGTGAGTCTCTTTTTGCTTTTCTTCAGTTCTATTCAGTTCCATGTCTTCTTCTAGTTTTGATAGTCTTCTTGATGAGGCCGAGGAGGGTACCTCGGCCCAGGGTAGTAGCCAAGACGAGGCTACTCCGGGCTCAGAGGCAGTCTGTGGCCCTCCCGAGGTACAAGCACCTCGGGGGGCGCGAGAGGCCTCGGGTAGTCTGGCATCCATTTGTCACCAAGGTCGGGTGCTGGACAACTTTGGCCCTTCAACACTGACTTTGGACCGGCTTCAGGCTTTAGTTCGCCGGTATAACCTCCCAAGGGAGTTCTCCTACAGTCTCCCCTCAGGTAACTTCCCTTGGAAACACGATCACGACGAGATGTCTCCCCTCAGGTAACTTCCCTTGGGAACACGATCACGACGAGATCATGATTTTAGAAGAATAGCTTGTGGCTGGTCTTCGTCTCCCTTTGCACCCTTTAACTGTAGAGGTCCTGAAGTCCTTTGATATTGCTATAGACCAGTTACACCTGAACTCCATCCGCAATGTAGTAGGGACCATCTCACTTTTTTACGAGTACTGTCTTCCCCTCGACCTCAAGATTTTTTCTTCTATTCTGTCCATTAAGAAAAACTCTTCTTGTGCTCTTCCCGAGCATAGGAGAACCTATTACCTGTCTCCTCGCTCAGACTATAAGCAACTACCCGAACTCCCCAACAAGATCCCAGCCTGAAAACGGGATTACTTCGTAGTTCGTAACCCTGAGGGGTGGCCCTTCCTAACCCACTGGAGGCCGGCGATTCAGGATTCTGGTGTTAGACTAGACCTGAAGACAAGGGAGACGCTCAAGTCTTGGGCGGAGGTCAGCTTCCTTTGTGCAGACTACCTTGCCGAAGACAAGCTCGTGCGGGCCGGTTTGAGTCCTGGTAGGTCACCTTGGGTCTTTGCTTTCTTAAGATTTTGATTAGTTCATGGCTAATCTTGCTTTTAATTTTTGCAGCTACCATGCCGATCAATGCAGAAAGTCTTTTGAGGAGCTCTCAAAATGGGAAGAAGAAGGCCAGGAGAATGGTTCCTCTCCCGAAGTCTTAATCGTTGAGCCTGTCCCCACTATGCCTCTCCCGGAAGAGGTCTGACCTGCCGCTCTCGAGGCGGTTACGGACGAGGTCCAGCACGAGGGAGCTCGTTCCTGTGAGTCGGAGAGTTCGTCTGCACCCATGGGGGCGGATACTACTCCAGAGGGTTATCTCCCGATCGTGAAAGAGAGCATCATGGACCACATTCAAGCCATGCGCAAGAGTCAGGGTGCCCTCTTTTCTAACGAGATCGCGAAGTGGGCGGAGATGTCCACGGGCAGGCTCTTGGGACTAGTTGCCAGTCATTGTATGGTGGTAAGCATTCTACCTCCTTTCTTTTCTTTTCTCTTTTTTTTTTGACTAACCTCAATTTTTTTTTCTGGTAGGCTAACTCTGCTGATCACGCGCTGGCCTGCCAAGCGGCGATCCGTTCAAAGGAAGCTTGTGACGCCAAGGTAGAGTCATAGAAGCTCCACCGCGAGCTGAACTTGACTTGGGGCGAGATAGAGCCAAAAAGGGGGCTGAGGCCCAGAAGCAACTGATCTTGTCCCAAGAAGGGCAGATCTCCTTGCTAACTGAGGAGAAGGCGAGGCTTCAGTGGGAGGTTGCGAACCTCGAGACCATGGCCAGAGCGCGGACCGAAATCTTCGAGACCGCCATCGCAGACAAGAGGAAGAAGGTCGTCGAGAGCTTCAAGGAGTCCCCAAAGTTCGAGGCCCTGCAGGTTGAATACGGCTCGAGCTCCTATCGCTCTGGTTTCAAGCTATGCCGATACTTGGTCCATCAGAAGTTCCTCGATCTCGACCTTGGCGGGATCACAATGACAAGCTTAGACTTCGGGGTGGCCAAGGCAACGGATGAGGAGCCCAACTCCTCAGGGGAGGAGAGTGACACTGAGATCGAAGTGGTGGACCCCTCTGCGTGATGACTTCTTGTTCTTTCTCTTTTTTCTTTTGAACTGTGGATGTACTCTCCCGGGCCATTGAGCTCGAGTTTTAGTAAAATTCTTATACTTAACTTTTTTGCTAATGAAATATATAGTTTTTTTAGTAACCCTGAGTGCAAAATAATTCTAAGTGTGAGTGAGCTCTGAGCTGGGCAATTTAATGTATAGATCATCTGAACTGTCGAACTACCGAGCTAGCAACGAATAAGGATAACCGAAAGCATAAATTGTGTTACTCCGGACTTCGCAGGTTACCCCGAACTATTGAGTTATCGAGCTCGGTAATGAGTAAGGATAACCGGGGTGGAATAGACATCGTAAGGTTTTTACCCGAGCTATCTTTACCTTAGGTGTTAGAATTGCTTGCTTATGCCAACGAGGTAACCAGGTCTTATGCAGTACCTAGGTCCTTGTAAATTTGGCATTTTTTGGCCCTTAGGCTTTGGGAGGGACCTGTAGTTCACCCTTGAACTTTGCCCATGCTGAAGTGCCGACTGAGTCTTCTTGTGCCCCTTAGGCTTTGGGAGGGACCCATAGTCCGCTCCTGAACTTCACCCACGCCGATAGGGGATAGGGGATGATCTTAATCCTATCTGTAGATTAAGTTAGCTTACTCCTAATCTTATCAGGAGTTTACTAGATTCAAATCTGATTTGAATTTGGTCTTCTAGAGTGGATAAGGTTAAAGGCCCAATCCTTTTTGCTAACATTAATCTCAGATCCGCCCCATAGATGGGTGATCATATCAGCCCAGCTCGAAATGGGCTTTTGGCCCATTAAGTGTTCAGTGCTTAACTAGTTTCCAATCTGCT